GTATCACCTCTCCAGGCTCCAGGGGCACCTATTCAGGATGCTTCATCTGTCCAGCAGCTAGGATCTTCCACAAGGGCCTATCTGCTCTTCATCCTGGCCCATTCATCTTTGTAAGTACAACTAGCACAGGTGCTAATGATCCACTTTTCCCCCTAGCAGCTTGCCTTTTCTGCCTCCACAAGATGTAAATACCTGAGGTCTCCAGGATGGCACTTAGCAGGATGCTTCTTCACCCATACCACCCACTGAGTGTGAGCTGACTGTGACTGTGAGCTTTCTGCCCCCACGTCATCCCATGCCTGCAGGAAGTAGCCAGACATGAAACAATGTTCACATACCCAAAGAATCTGGGATGTTCTGTGGAAGCTTCACCCCAGCCCCTGGCATCCATATACCCAAAGAGTCTGGAATGTTCTGGTGGAAGTCTTATCTGAAGCCCCTCCCCCATCTCTCTCCAAACCCTGTCACATCTCAGAAAGCCCACCAAATGATGATGCCTCCCCCAGAAATGCTCAAGACCACTCCTACATGGTATTTCAGCTGACCCCCCCTCCCCCCAGAAAACAGACATGTTGTTTCCGATCTCTTTCCCATCTCCACTTGGGTGCTGGAAAATCATCTGTGAATGTTTAATCCGTTAAACCTGGGCTTTTTCTAATTTGGTTTGATTTGGATTGCTTGGAATGCAGAAACCTTTCAATATGTGCAACAGTGAGTGATTGGATTGTTCCTCAGGGTTTGAAATTTCTCCTTGATATCTTCAGCATCCCTTCTTTCTGTAGTTTCCTTTCCCATGTCAAAGGCCTTGGCTTTATAAGTCTTCACAAGCATGTGGGTGCTTTGAAAGTTTCTCTTTAGTTCTCCCTATCAGATTCTATCTTCAGAAAAAAGTCGATTAGCAATTCCATCTGCAGGACACAAATACAAATGTTTTGTTGCCACATTTGCAAAAAGATCTGCACAGGTCAGGTAATAGAATTTTAGCTGTGGGAGTTGGACATTACAAAGTGATTAGGAAAAATTTTATTTGGAAAAAGAGAAGAGTGTGTCTTAGTCTCCTGGGGTGACCTCTCTAGATTCATGTTCATTCATATATCTGTATTACATAGGCTTACTAACTAATATATAATCCATATTTTAATGGTGGTGATGTGTTTAGATTCTCTAAAACACTTGCCTGATTTTGGAGACTTTTTTTCAGGGATTCTTTTTTTTAATTGATTGATTAGCTTCATGTACAAAGTACTGAGTTTCACCATGGCATCTTCATACATGTGTTGCTATGCTTTGTTCTCATTTGTCTCCATTCATGCCCTTCACCTTCTCCTGTCCCCATGTACCCTGTTCCTTCTATTTCCCCCATTAGTCTCAACTTCTTTCTTACTACATTTGTCCCCTCACCCTCTAAAACTCCTCCTGATGCAGGAGTTAATCATCGCTCCCCTCTCCCAATCCACTTGTGAGTCTCTTGACCCAATAACACGTATGCACATATGTAATTATTTTATTTATTTATTTATTAAAAATTTCCACCTCTTCCCCGCCTCCCTTTTCCCTCCCCCTCCCAATTCCCTCTCCCTCTCTAGTCCTAAGACCAGTCAGGTTCCCTGCCCTGTGGGAAGTCCACGGTCCTCCCCACTCCATCCAGGTATATAAAGGTGAGCATCCAAACAAACCAGGCTCCCACAAAGTCAGTTCATGCAGTAGAATCAAAACCCAGTGCCATTGTCCTTGGCTTCTCAGTCAGCCCTCATTGCCAGCCACATTCAGAGGGTCCAGTTTGATCACATGCTCCATCACTCTCAGTACAGCTGGCCTTGGTGAGCTCCCATTAGATCAGTCACACCGTCTCAGTGGGTGGACGCACCCCTCGTGGTCCTGACTTCCTTGCTCATGTTTTCCCTTCTTCTGTTTCTCATTTGGACCTTGGGAGCTCAGTCCAGTGCTCCAATGTGGGTCTCTGTCTCTATCACCATCCATCACCAGATGAAGGTTCTATAGTGATATGCAAGATATTCATCAGTGTGACTATGGGACAAGGCCAGTTCAGGCACCCTCTCCTCTGCTGCCCAAGGAACAATCTGGGGACATCTCCTTGGACCTGGGAACCCCTCTAGAATCAAGTCTCTTGCAAACCCAAAAATGACTCCTTTAATTAAGATACTTACTTCCCTGCTCCCATATCCACCCTTCCTCCATCCCACCCATCCCATTCCCCCAAGCTCTCCTGAATCCTCCCCTTCTCCCTTCTCTCTACCCATCTCCTCTTACATCCATTCCCCACCCCCATGCACCCAACTTTTGCCTGGCAACCTACCTCAGGACCCAGCAATTCCACTCTTGGGAATATACCCAAGAGATGCCCTATCCTACTACAAGAGCATTTGTTTAACTATGTTCATAGCAGCACTATTTGTAATAGCCAGAACCTGGAAACAACCTAGGTGCCCCTCAATAGAAGAATGGTTAAAGAAGGTGTGGAACATATACACATTAGAGTTTTACTCAGCGGTAAAAAAACAATGACATCTTGAATTTTGCTTGCAAATGAATGGAAATAGAAAACGCTTTACTGAGTGAGGTAACCCAGACCCAAAAAGAGGAATATGGTATGTACTCACTCATAAGTGGATTCTAGCCATAATTAAATGACATTGAGCCTATAATTTTTCAGGGATTCTTACAATGAAAAGGAGAGTGATCTGTGAGTGATTGTGTGTATAGAAGGAATAATTAGGTCATGCTGGCCACTGGCCATCTTAGAGAAGTTTGTACTCTTTGTGTAGACCACATGTGTGCACTAGGTCTCAGGTGAGTCTTTCCTTTGAGGACTTCTTATAGACCTTTGGTGCCAGTCCAGTTTATGCCCTGGGAGTCAGGGAAAACAAGAATTAAGCAAATAGAATGCCACTTTTCTTCATTAAAGGCATTTGTGAAATCCTTTTGCTCAGCACTAAACATGCTCGGTATATGTAGTTTCTGGTTCCTTCACTCCAGGCGTTCTGGATGATGAATGTGAACATTCCTGAAGGATGTTTACAATGTGATTATTTGTCTACTTGCTCTAATGTAACTGTCTGCTTTAAGGAACCTAAAGAGAAGAGCTGGACTTTATGCAATAAATTACAGTACAATGAAGTGGGAAAATAGCATGGGCAGCAGATGAATTTGAAAAGTAAGAGAAAAATAAAATAAACCAACCTCAAAGAACTCGAAGTGCCCCTGGAGGCCTATCTTTTTCTAAATAAAGCACTCTTTTTTGTTTGATCTTCCCATGTATCCTGTCACACGTTTGCCTCTTATCAGAGAATATTCACTTGAGGCTGTTGCCATTGGTAACAGTCACTGAAGTACTTAGCAGGGACCTCTCCAACACCCACATAATTGGACAGTGGTCCCTCCCTTTGCTCTTAGAGTTGAAAATTGATATGTTTGTTCCGTTCATTTGTCTCTGCCCTTTGACCTCACAGAGGTAATGTAATTAGGATACATTTAATTTTCTTAAAGAAATGCAGCAAAGACATTCATCAAAACTTGGAAAGATGAAATTTGATTTTTAATGTTAGATGAGGTTTTAATACAGGTAGATGGTGCATTATGTTAGGAAGATCAGATAAATATGCTCAATAGTCTCACCTTAAAAATACTCCTTTCTTTTTGTAGGACCCAGCTATCATAAGCTTAATAGGCCTGAGTCTCAGTAGGTTTCCCTAAGGCAATACCTGGTTGTAGGAAGACAGGTATTACTCAGGAACAGACCATCCAAAGGAAATTCCTAATGTTCCAACCATTGTAGATAGGATCACCTGCCAGCAGACATCCATTGCTTTTCACCAGGACATCCCTTAGACACATGTCAGCCAATGAGGATTGAACCCGTCACCCCAAACCCTGCTAATGTAACTTTTCAGGGTTTTGCCTTTAAATAGTGCTCTCTAGAAGGATGGGGTACCTCCTCTCACTGCTTTGTGGACAGGGTTCCTACCGGTTTGTACATGTGCATGATAATAAACCTTGCTTTTGTATTTCAGTCAGTTGGTCTCCTTGGTGGTCTTTTGGGGTCCCCACGGACTGTGCACAACATTTTTTTCTTTTAGTGGGAACTTACATTTTAGGTGTTAAGTCTCTTTAGAATAATTTGTAGACAGATCCTTTAGACTACATAGATACTTTACTAACAGATTATGTTTAAAAGTTTCCATAGGGGGTAACTTAAATACCTTATACAATGAGACATTTCTCTTCTTGTTGCTCTAATAACCCCCTGACACAAACAACATAAGGAAAGCAGGAATTGTGAGTGGCACACAGTTTGGGGGTATTGTCTATTGTGGTGGCGAAGTCAAGGAGACAAGAGCATGAAGCAGTTAGTCACATATTTTCAGGAACAAGAGAGGGAGGAACCCTCATAATCACTTAACTTTATCCTTTCTATATAGTCCCAGATACAGGGAATTGGGCCAGCCTCCTTTAGGGCGGACTTAAAGATCAACTTAAGATAACCTCTAATAGGCACCAGAGCCAATAGCAATTTCCCATCATACAAGGAAACACAATTTTATACATGAAGGAATAAAAAATAATTATACCTGTGTCATCTTCATACAAATAAAATAAAATAAAACCAAGTCCCAGATAAATGAAGCAGAGAAAATCACTAGTACTTAGCATTCCTACCCTGGTCCATCATGATTTTCACAATTTAGAGGTAACTATTACCTTCAATTAAAACATTTATTTTTTATTATTATAATTCTTCCCTTCAACCCCTCCCATCTACCCCTCCCTACTCTCCTAATTCATGACCTCTTTTCACTAGTTGTTATTGTATGCATATTTGTATATACATATATATATATTTCTATATAGGTTTTAGGGGCTGAACTCCAGCCATCAGTCTTGGCAGCAAGCATCATTACCTCCTGAGCTACATCACTGCTTCCAGAATGGTGAGTCTTTTGTAAATACTATTTCAGATTAAAAAGTTTCTTAGTGAATCTCCGGGGCGGGCGCGTAGAGCTGGCGAAGTGCTTTGGCGGAGGCAGCGCGGAGGAAGGAGGTCGGTTCGGCGGCACGGGCAGAAACCTGAGTCCGGGTGGGACGACCGACTGAGGGAGGCGGCATGTCGGTGGCAGGGCTAAAGAAGCAGTTCTACAAGGCGAGCCAGCTGGTCAGCGAGAAGGTTGGCGGGGCTGAGGGCACAAAGCTGGACGATGACTTCAAAGAGATGGAAAAGAAGGTGGATGTCACCAGCAAGGCCGTGGCAGAGGTGCTGGTCAGAACCATCGAGTACCTGCAGCCCAACCCAGCCTCACGGGCTAAGCTGACAATGCTGAACACTGTATCGAAGATCCGGGGCCAAGTGAAGAACCCTGGCTACCCGCAGTCAGAGGGGCTGCTGGGCGAGTGCATGGTCCGCCACGGCAAGGAACTGGGCGGAGAGTCCAATTTTGGCGATGCCCTGCTGGATGCAGGCGAGTCCATGAAGCGCCTGGCTGAGGTGAAGGACTCACTGGACATCGAAGTCAAACAGAATTTCATCGACCCGCTGCAGAATCTGTGTGACAAGGACCTGAAGGAGATCCAGCACCACCTGAAGAAACTGGAGGGCCGCCGCCTGGACTTTGACTACAAGAAGAAACGACAGGGCAAGATCCCTGATGAGGAGCTGCGGCAGGCCCTGGAGAAGTTTGAGGAGTCCAAGGAGGTGGCAGAGACCAGCATGCAAAACCTCCTGGAGACTGATATTGAGCAGGTGAGTCAGCTCTCAGCCCTGGTGGATGCCCAGCTGGACTACCATCGGCAGGCAGTGCAGATCCTGGAGGAGCTGGCAGACAAGCTGAAGCGTAGAGTGCAGGAAGCCTCCTCACGCCCCAGGCGGGAGTTCAAACCCCGGCCTTGGGAGCCCTTCAACCTTGGAGAGCCAGAACAGCCCAATGGGGGATTCCCCTCCGCCCCAGCACCCAAGATCACAGCTTCTTCGTCATTCAGATCAGCAGACAAGCCCGCCAGGACACCCAGCAGGAGTATGCCACCCCTGGACCAGCCAAGCTGCAAGGCACTGTATGACTTTGAGCCTGAGAATGACGGTGAGCTGGGCTTCCGCGAGGGTGACCTCATCACACTCACCAACCAGATCGATGAGAACTGGTACGAGGGGATGCTGCACGGCCAGTCGGGCTTCTTCCCGCTCAGCTATGTGCAGGTGCTGGTGCCCCTGCCTCAGTGACCATGCCTGCACTCTGACTCCCTGCACATTGTGGCAGCAGCCTAACGCCAAGGTGCTCTAGAAACACTAACGTTCCTCCAGGGGGACCCTCCTCCTCACTCTCCCAACCCTGGGCCCCCATTCCTAAGACTTGGGAAGGTCCACCCTGAGGTCCTATTGCCTTCCTGATGGTGGCAGCTCCCACCTGTTTCAAACCCTCCCAGCCCGTTGCTGGCGATGGGCCCTGGCCCCTTTTCCAGGCTCCCCAGAAGCAGGTGGGCCCTTGGAGTCTCCATTCTGCAAGCTGAGGCTGGCCAGTACCCCAACTTGACACACAGAAATGCTTAGCACACATGTGCACACCTCCCACGGGACCACAGAACCAGCCTCAGCCCTGCCGAAGGCCAAGCACAAAGGCCCCGAAGAGAGGACATTCCCAGGTCCCTGGCAAAGTGAGACAGCTCCATTGCTACCTGTCCATGTGACCCTGCACCTGTGGGTTACCACAGCCCCAGCTCCGCATCATACCCTGCCAGGTGCCAGCAAGTGAGGCCTCCAGCCTGGGCTCAGTCACATTCCTCTCTACAGTGTTCCCACAACCTATGGCTCATCCCTGGCATGTGGGGCCACACTCCACATCCCCAGTGGGCAACAATGTCCCGCTCCAGCCCGGGCTGAAGTGAACTCTACTCCTGATTTTTTTAAAGTATTAAATGTCTCTTTCTACAAAAAAAAAAAAAAAAAAAGTTTCTTAGTATTTGCAACTTAATGAAAATAAGATGCACTGAGATAGCAGGCCAAAGGTCCTCTAAATTGGCTCACACACTATATCTTTTTCAGTAATGTTGAAATCCTTTCTCAAAAATGTACATTGAAGACAATAATTCCAAATTTGGAATTAGGTTCAACTAACAACCATTGTCAATTTTATTAGGAGCTAAAGGAACACAGTGTACAAGAATTCGACATTGATGTTAGGTTGTAAAACTGACAACTCATGTTTTTGCACTAAGTTAGCTGTGAACTTCTGAATTAGGAGGCAAAGGAAGAGAACACAAAGAATATGGTCATCAGAACATGTGCCTTTCAGTATAAACTAACAAGCAGCCATCCTTCTCTTGTCATCTGTAGAATGGGAAAGGAGGACAGAGTGGGCTAATGAACAGAGCCTTGAGTCATCTGAGGATATATGCAGGCCCTTTGTTCAAAACCCCAGTATACTCTAAGACAGTCCTAAGGTTGAGACATGGTAGTAGGAAAGAGCCCTGACTGTATTTTTCTAGATAAGCAATGACATTTTAAAATTATACTTATGGCAGTATCTGACCCAGAATGATCAATGTCACTATTCTGCTGTAGTGGCATCTTGGTGAAGAAATCATGCTCAGTAAGAATGGGGATAGTAACTGACCTGGGAGTCAGACCCAGTGTGAGGAGTGGCTCTGACATGGCTTTTCAGGTTATTTGATGTGTGTTGACTCAACACCTAGTATCTGAACTCTGAGGCTAGTCTTAGGATCTATGATCATGTTCCCAGGCTTGAGGTATTATTTTAAGTGTGAAATGAGGATGTATGAAATATGAAAACTAAGTAATTTTAACATTTATAGCTCGAGGTAAGATCTTCACTGACATAGTATCTTCATATTAATTTACCATCTCCAAACCTTATCCATTAATTCTTCAATAGTGGGAGATTAGAGGTTTGTTATATTTTCTATTTCTGAGATGTTCATGATATTAAACACCATTCTTCAATAGGAAGAAACCTTAACATTTTAATATAGCTGTAGCAGGTGGTCACTTGTTTGTTCCCAGCTACTCAGCCCCAAAATAACCACACAGAAATTGTATTCATTAAAACACTGCTTGGCCCATTAGCTCTAGCTTCTTATTGGCTAACTCTTACATCTTAAAATAACCCATCTCCATTAATCCATGTATTGCCACTAGGCTGTGGCTTCCTGAGTAAAGTTCCATTGGGGCTACATGGCCTCTCCTGACCCTGCCTTCTTTCTCCCAAAATTCAGTTTAGTTTTCCCCACCTACCTATATTCTGCCCTGCACAGGCCTAAGACTGTTTCTCTATTAACCAGTGATATTCACAGCATTCGGAGGGGAATCCAACATCACCTCCCCTTTTCTGTTTACATAAAAGGAAGGTTTTAAATTTGGCATAGTAAAATTACATATAACAGAACAGGTATCAAGTAAGAATTACACCTACAACATTTATATCTACTTTATCCTTTATTGTAACTAAGGGAAACTATAACTATCTATTCTTCAACTTCATCAAAGATCTAAGAAGGATACATTACCTAAGTAGACAGGAAGTGAATTGTAAGCATCTTCCAAAACTCTAAAATTGACAGAAACATGTCACTTCCTGGATAGTCACTCAAAGTTCTTCTGTATCATTGTGGCATCCATATTCAGCCTACGGGTCCATAGTTTTTGGCATACTTTTCCATGAAGCAGGAAATTTCAAAGACAGTTCCACCTACATTGGCAGTTTGTCAGTTACCTTCCACTGTGCCCTGCAGAATGTCTGGCAGTCGCTTTCATGAAACATGAACCTTGAGGGACTATTTCACTTTCTTTAGGGAGCTTCAGTAGTCATTTTTCTGTGAATCCTGCATGTCCAATTCATATAGCATGCCATCAAACAGTCTAGACAAGAGCAGTTTCTTGCCCAAGTGACTAACAAATTCCGTGAGTAGCCGCTTTGATGCCATTCTTTCTTTTGAAGTAATTTGAGCAGTAAGAAATAGATGTAGTCTCACCATCATGAAAAATCCTAAGTTTTTGATTTAAAGAATACCTAACTATCTGAAATATATCTCTATTTATCTAGAAAACCAAACTAATATGACTACAAGCTTGATTATTATAGATGGCCCACTATTAACCTATGTTTCTTAATTATACATTATGTTTATTCATATCTATATCATATTCCACTTTAAATGTCAGCAAATATTTATAAATGATATTTGGGAATTTGGGCATAGTTGTCTCCAGACTTCTTCCTACTTATTGTTGGGTGAAGTATTTTGGTGGGGGGGTGATGTTTACAGAGACCTCTGGGGGTGTCTTGGTTCATTAAACCACATTAGTCTGGAAGTAATCCACAGGTTCTCATCTTCTGTGGAAACAAAGGAAGAACCTCTTTTCCAAAGCAACATATCCCTAGATTCAAATTTTAAGGATGCAAAACCTTTAAAGTATATATATTGGTTACTTAGCTCTTTCACAGTCAAAAAATTCAAAGAAAATAAAATAATATATATTATCCAGACATTCTGTGTATTTCCCAGCTTTATGTGGCTTATTTTTCTTTATTACTTTTAATCTATAACTGTATGTACTTTGTATTTTTAAAGACTTTATTTTATTATTTTAAAATGATTTATTTCTTTTTCTAATTCTCTATACTCTTTTTCTTCTCTCTTTCAAGTCTATGTACATTTATCTGATATAACCTGTTGTAAGAGGTCACTTATTTGTTCCTGGCTGCTCAGCCCTAAAATAATCACACAGAAACTGTATTAATTAAACCACTGCTTGGCCTATTAGCTCTAACTTCTTATTGGCTAGCTTTTGCATCTTAATGTAATCCATTTCCATTATTTTATATTTTACCATGAGGCTTGTAGCCTACTGGCAAGGTTCCAGCATGTCTGTCTCTGGTGGCAGCTCCATGACTTCTCTCTTACTCTTTCTCCTTCTCCCAGCATTCAGCTTAGCTTTCTCTGCCTAACTAAATTTTACCTTGCTATAGGCCAAGCCAGTTTCCTTATTCATTAGTCAATAAAGCAACATATAGACAGAAGGACCTCCCACATCTGTGACCCATTTACAGGTCTTTTTAATCTGAATTTGTCTTTATTGCATATCTGTGATCCTTTTCTGAACAGAAGTGCTTCTTATAATGCTAAGCAACACTACAATGGTTAAGGCTGCTTTGTGCTTTGCCCTTTGGCTCCACCCAGTACAATATGTCGGAGGAGGTCCATCCCTTCATTGCCTCTGAGAGCCATTATCTCCACCTCAGATTCAGAGTCAGGTCACAGCAGGTCTATGTGGCCATTAAGCAAGTTGTAGCACTCTGCTCACAAACCCCATTTAAATGCTTCATAGCCGGACCTCCAGAAAGAGTCAGAGTTCATGCTGGCAGCACGGCCTAGGAAGCCACCATTTCAAAACAGTGTGGCTTTTTTTTTCTGTTACCACTGAATCAGTAATATCTCTCTTAAAGGAGCCACAGCATGCTGCCAGCAAGCAAACCATTCAGGAAAAAATGTGGCTAAACTCATATTTTAGTATCTAGATTTCCTTTCTAAGCCCTCTCAGGTTTTATGTGGATTTAGCTAACACACGCTGGAGCACCAATTTGTGGTCTCCCTACAATACATATCCTTTTAGGAAATAAATATATTCTCTGAAATAAAACAAAATGTTTCCCAATTAGCTGGTCCCACCATCAACTTATACATTCAAATATTCTACAATTTCTCAAGATCTGTGATTTCTTTACCTTCAAGCTCTAACATGAATTTAATTTTGATTCTTGGAGATTTTGTGTAGCAATATGTGAACACATGGCTTTATTTAGTTGATTGGGATTATAACTCATTTATCAATAAAACAAACAACAACATCTGTGTGGTCAATGGGGAACAGTGAATTTCATCAATTTTTCTAGTTTGAATAAACCCATAAGCCATAAGCCTCCTGCTTTATTCCTTGAAATGAACTGAAAGTTAAATAGCCTTTGAGAGTCTGCTTGGGACTGCTTTCAGGCAGACCTTCAATGTCTGTGAGACTCAGGAATATCTGACAGGTGAACTTTCAGTGTCTGTGACTCAGCTCAGTCAGTCTTTTTCAGATTTGCAAATGACTGATCTATTTTGAAAAGTTCAATGACTGTAAGCACTTGTCTTTTACTGTGTCTATTAAGAATCTTAGAGGACTCCAGAGTTTTGCTTGTCTTTGCTTGCCTAGCAGTACTAGGATTTTGGTTATTACTTTATCTTCTAGTTAGTTCCAGCTGTCAATTTCACCTACTCCTGAGTTATAAGATAATCAGCTGAAGAATTGCCTCCATTAGCTTGGCATGCATTAAATATTTGTGGGGCATTGTCGATTGATAATTAATGTTGGAGGATCTAGCCCACTGTGAGCAATTCCTTCTCTGGGTAGAGGGACCTGGGTTGTCTAAGCAA